GCTCTAATGCGAGCATGAAAACTTAAAAACAAATAAAGCTCTAATGCGAGCATAAAAACTTAAAAATAAGTAAAGCTCTAATGCGAGTATAAAAACTTAAAAATAAGTAAAGCTCTAATGCGACAATAAAAAAACTTAAAAATAAGTAAATCTCTAATGTGAGCATAAAAACTTAAATATAAATAAAGCTCTAATGCGAGCATAAAAACTTAAAAACAAATAAAGCTCTAATGAGAGCATAAAAACTTAAAATTAAGTAAAGCTCTAATGCGAGCATAAAAACTTAAAAACAAATAAAGCTCTAATGCGAGCATAAAAACTTAAAAATAAGTAAAGCTCTAATGCGAGCATAAAAACTTAAAAATAAGTAAAGCTCTAATGCGAGCATAAAAACTTAAAAATAAGTAATGCTCTAATGCGAGCATAGAAACTTAAAAATAAATATTTTTTTTCTTTTTTTTTTTTTTTTTTTATTTATCTTTCAGAAGCAATAAAGGAGGGAAGTCGAGGACGACCAGAAAGTAGGATGGCCGAGTGTTATGATTTTTATGAGTACCTTGTTTATATAGTGTATTGTTATGATTAACAAATTATGGTTTATGTATTATGTCAGATTGTATTATTCATAATGCATGGTTTTTATGACAGGCGATAGAATGTTACGGGAGATAAGATTGTGAGTGAGGCGCCCGCCGCAGTCAGTCGGTACCGTGCGCTCGCACGATACACATGTTTGTGTCGTAATCCTAAGTACTAAAATGTAATAAAGAAGTTATGAGGGAAATCCAGTGTTTTATTTGGAAATACAAGATCTACTGTTACAATATATTTTCTTACTTTTGTGCTTAGACGCAAAAGTGCTTTACTTTTATGCCTAAGCGTTAAAATGACTTTTTCATATTGCAGTCACGTAGCAAAAATTAATATGTAGGTACTTTTGTGACGTTTGTGACGTTGAAAAAAAAACATTTAGGTATTTGTAAGTTTTATAACATGTCTAATTAAATTTGGATGAACGGAATATTGCTGGTTGCTGTCGATAATTTTGTCAAGGAAAATAGGGGAAAATGCGTAAATCAAAAGGACTTTTTAGGTTAAAAAAAGTCAAAAGGACAATTTGTTCCAAAAAAGAACTATCCTTTTCAAAAAAGGACAGATGGCAACCCTACTCAATCCTCATAAATGTATAAATGTCTAATACTAACATACTAAATCTGTTTTTTTAAAAGAAAAAAAAAGTTATAGGGCTGAGCCACTTTTAAGAAACGTCCGGTATACAGTCGATATATGATGACTAAAAGTAGTTATAGGTCGCAGAGCATGAGACATTTGCCGCCGATACACGCAAGGGATTTTTAAAAGATTTGTTCCGCCGCGGTCTTTACCTCTCATTAATATATTGTGCGTTAGTGAATCATCGCGGAGAAATATCGGATATATGGCAGTCCTGATTAATTGTGAGTTCTAACCTGATGAAAGATCAGATATGCTCGTTTGTGAATAGCAAAATATCTGTACCCCGAACGACCGGGTCGGGAGATACGGGATGTCATACCTGGACTGCGGGACCGATCGCTTAAAAATCCCTTGCGTGTAGAATGTTGAAATGGCTATAAATAAAAATTTTGTATCGACCCTCTAATGTAACTTTTTTAAAACTAATTAAATTTAAATAAAAAACCTTGATAAAAAGTATACTAATACTCCAGATAAAATTAACAAGAATATCGAGTAGGAAGTGTGTGCACTAACTTCCAGTAAAAAATACATGAATAATATAATAACGTGTGAGGATCTTACAGTAAAAATGACATTTTGACAATAGATTTTTGTGTTGAAAGATGTTTTTTTTAAATTACATATTATTTTCTAAAATTTGTCGTAGAAAGATAGTTTAAATGAATCTAGAGATCGATTCGACAAAAATTTTAATTATAACGATCGTCATATCAATGGCTTCTCTGGCGCCATTTTTTTCGATTTTTTGGTAGTTTTTACAAAATTACTTACTTAAATTACTACTAAAACTTATGTGAAAATATAGATCAATAATAATTATTAAATCTTATTGGTATCTTTGTAATCGAATGTAGGTAGGTATAGGTAAAAAAATAATCAAAGTACACCATTAGAACGACACAAATATATAAAATCCATTAATTAAATAGGCCTGTTCTAATACCCCCTGATATAATTAAATAAATATCTAATTTAGCACAAATATTAATTAGGTTAAAACCTACGCGTTTTTTTCTAAAGCCATTGGAAAAATAAACTTCCTTTTAGTTGTTCCTTTTTCTGTCGGTCTTTATTATCTTTATCAGATCCATTTTAGAAAATGAACCTTAATATTTGTATCAAAATGATGTTTTGATATTTTATTCTTTATGACAATAAAAGGAACACGGGTCCGATTTTTTAGAACCAATCCAAGTTTTATGTATAGTTCAGTAGCGTAGTTGTATAAAATATTCTGCAGAGTATGAGAACTTTTGTACGAAATGATTTAAAAAATTGAGAGTAAGATTTGAGTTATTGAGTATTAGGTACGAGTATTATATGAGCTGGAGGAATTAAATAATAGATTAAAATATTTGATATTGATTGTCTTTATTGATATGAGGCTGATTCAGGAAGTAATATGGTATAAATCAAATTTTTTGATGAACCTGATTGACTTAAAGCTTTGATACATCATTTCATTGACTATTTTTCCAACTAATAATCGTACTGCTCCCAACGTTCCAATTAAGTGCATGTAGATGTAGATGTAGATTCTTTAAAAGGGGGAAAGTTAATCAGTGCAACCTTATAGTTTTATTGTGACCCCATTTCTTGAGTTATACAGTCTCAGGGCTTTGATAAAAGCCAGTATTTGAAAGTTTGGTTAGTTTTCCATCTCCGATATCAGTCGTACCAAAGTTTATGGCACGAATAGTTGTCGTTTTGACGCACTCTGTTATTAGGTGTTCTGGTGTTTCACCATTTCTCCCACAGAATCTGCATTTGCCGTTGTTTCTTAGCTTCAATCTACTGAGGTGTTCATTGAGGAGACACTGTCCTGTTAAAACTTCGTGACAATCCGAAGATTGTCCTTACTTAAATTAAGAAAAATCCTTGATTTTTCTCGGTCGTAAGTTTTGAGAAATTTCTTCGAGTGTCTTAGACCGATGGAGGATTCCCATTCCAGGTTACGGATGGAGTCTTCCAGGTTCTTGAGTTCCGCTTTGAGATGGTTTCCACTTGGTATGTAGAACGGTTTTGGTCCAGTTAGTGGGGAATCTTCGCTGTATGTTTATAAGTTCACAGTAATTTTAATTTTCTACACAATAAATTACGAAAATTAATATTAATTATATCAGTGGAAAAACTGAAATGTTTCCCGGTAGAGTGGGTGCCTTTAAAGAAGGAGCCAGGAGCGTCATCAATAACGCGATTGCAAAGCCACTGCCCTTTACTTGCGATTCGATGGTTCAGGTACTAAGATCTTTACTAAGGTTTCAGAACTAATATCCATACCAAAGTTAAATTTTTTCTTATGGACCACACTCAGTATTTCTAATTTATTAGAAGGATTAAATATGTTAACTTTGGTTTTGAGATATTTAAAGATATTTGCATATGCGTATGCTATAATAGGAAAGATTATCACCACCCTGTACATTACTTTTCAGAATTAAATATTGTGCTGATTTTAAAGTTAGAGAAATAAACATTACTGGAAAATTTGATTGCTTCCTTAACCGTATACCAAAAATTGCTAATTTTTTTAAATATTTATTTCACATAAAAACTTCGTTATTTCAAATGCAACCTTTTTTTAAATTAAATAGAAGCATATTTAAATGCTTGGATGCAGATTTAAATGCTGTATGGATCTGGTTCAGATTTTGAATAAAAAACGATTAGTAATAAAATGGCAGTCAAGATGGCTGGTGGCGCCATGGCAATTTTCTGGTGACAGTTAGTAGCTATTTTCAAAATCGACATTAGTTTATAGATTTTATTTAAATTTATAACTGTTTGCTTTTATTTAATTTACCTAGTAGTTTAATAAGTAAATATTTATTATTTTATCAAGAAAAATGAAGCAGTATCTGCTGGCGGAAGGAATGGATATATTGCTAGTGATTTTATTTTGTGAGGAAACAGGAAATTTGCTTGTTGGTCTGAAGGGTTTATGCTCAAAGATATCCAAATAGGAATCTTCTTGAAAAGCGTTCCTTTGAAAAACTACTTTTCCTATTTCGCACAGCTGATAGTGTAGTAGGTAAATCTCTTAGGCAGAAACCTGTCGTTAGAAGTGAAGGAAATTAATTTGCCATAATTGACTCTTTTATAGAGAATCCAATATATCTAGTAGTCATCGTAACATAAATTAAAGAACTACTTCTTCGTTTTCCTTGATAGACTAATAATATAAATATAATAAATATTATTTATTAAACTATTGTAGGTAAACTGCTATAAATTTAAATGAAGTCTATAAAACTAATTTCGATTTTGAAAATAGCCACTAACTGTCACTATAAAATTGCCATGACGACACCGGCCCTCTTGGTTGCCATTTTTCTGAAAAATCGCTCTTTATTCAAAATCTGAAACAGATAGGTATAGGAAACCCTAATATAGTTTGAAAGAGCGTTTAAATCTGCTTCTTTATTTAAAAAAAATACAGAGTGTTGTATTTGCAATGACGGAGTTTTGATATAAAATATATATTTAAAATAGACCAGCAATTTTTGATATCCCTGTATACATTTAGGAAAGCAATTAAATTTTTTAGTGAATTGTATTTCTCTACCCTTAAACTCCCTCCACCTAGCATGCCATAGAGAGGCAGCTGTGTCATTACTGGGTCGAAGCTCTCGAAGAAACTTCAATCAAGGTTCGATGCCAGAAAATCGTAAGCGGAGCTGTAGCAGCAGAATGGTCACGACACTGCGATGCAGAAGGGAAGGGGAATCCACTGCATTAATCTCCCAAGAAAGTCATGCGTGATGTCATTTAACATAGAGCCTCGGATGCTGTCACGCAGTCCGGGTGACGACCGGCGCTTCTGCGATTCCGGGTCGCAAAGTGAAAAGTCAGCTACCGGCCACACGATTGTGAATGATCAGGCATGGTGTGGAAAATTAGCTACTGGTCATCAGAAACTCCAGATGAGAAACACCGTAAACATTGGTACGTGGAATGTGCAGGGCTTGAAGACAATAACGGGTAAACTAGCAATCATCGAAAGCGAGTTGTCAAGGTACAGAATCGAAATTGCGGGACTGGCGGAAACATACTGGCTAGGGGAGGGCTACTTCAAAACCTCTAATGGAAATTATGTCTATTTCTCTGGCAATGACAAACAAACGTTCACAGGCGTAGCCATTTTGATATCAGCCAGAATTCATAAATCCGTCATAGAATTTAGAGCTGTAAACGACAGAATAGTTCTCCTTAGACTAGACGGCAAACCTCATAAATTCAACATCATTCAAATATATGCACCGACAGCAACGGCAGAGGACAATGAAATCAAAGAATTCTACAATAAATTAGAACTTACCATCAGGAATATACCAAACAAAGAACTGACATTAATTTGCGGCGACTTTAACGCAAAAGTTGGGAACAACAAAATGAATGATGATCTAAAAAATATCCTTGGAAAATACAGCTTGGGAGAGAGGAATGAAAGAGGAGACCGTTTAATCGAATTTGCCATCAATAACAACTATTCTATAATGAACACTAGATAAACATCACACCACATTCGCAGACTCTATACTTGGAGAAGCCCTGGAGACAGAACACGGAATCAAATAGACTACATATTGACCAAAACCCGCTGGAAATCCTTCATTCAAACAGCACGTACATTACCAGGGGCAATATGTGGATCAGACCATCAGCTCCTATTTGCCAAAATAAAACTCAAACTCAAAACACCCTTCAACCACATAACACCAACAAAATTAATAAAAAGAAACAGCGAAGAAATTCTCCAAGGAACCCAGGCTTTCCTGACTACCTCAACAGAAAATACAGCAGCCCAAGAAATATGGGAAGCTTTCAAAAAATGCACAATAACTGCAACAGAGTCAGAAAAAGAAGATCAACCGATAAAACGAAAACACTGGTTATCGAACGAGACATTCCAGATCATCGAAGACAGAAGACTTCTCCACCGGAAAAGCATACATACAGAAGAAGAGAAAGAAGAACTAAAATACCTGAATAAGGCAATAAAGCAAGGAGCAAGAAGAGACAAACAACAATTTTACTCTGATATATGCAAAGAAATCGAGGGACACAGTCTAAATAACCAACCAAGAGACCTCTTCAAAAAAATAAAATATATTATCAGGGACTTTAAAGCCAGAAATTGGGCAATCGAAGATCAAAATGGAACTTTAAGAACCAAAAAAGAAGACATTATTGAGGTGTGGAGATCATATTGCGAAGATTTATACAAAGCCAGTGAACAATATAACTATGTCGACCACCACGAAAATTCAGAGAAAGAACCGGACATTCTTAAAAGTGAAGTTGAATTGGCCATAAACAAATTAAAATACCATAAAGCACCTGGTTCAGACCTAATGACAGCAGAAATAATAAAAGCCTTTTCTAGAAAGAGAAATTCCAGCAGAACAAGCAGGTTTCACCAAGGGCAGAGGCACTCGGGAACATCTTCTGAATATGCGCCAAATCATAGAGAAAGCAAGGGAATTCAACATCCCTCTTTATATTTGTTTCGTAGACTATACAAAAGCTTTCGATAAAGTCAGATTGCATCACCTGTGGAAAATCTTAAAGGAAGTGGGGGTACCGCAACACCTTATTTCACTTATCATTCAGTTGTATCAGCACACTACAGGATCAGTTACAATACTGGATTCAGCTTCAAAGGAATTTTCCCTCGAACAAGGAGTCAGACAGGGGTGTATATTGTCTCCTCAATTATTTAACATATACGGAGAATACATAATGAGAAGGTCGCTAGAAACATGGGAAGGAGGCAATTCAATAAATGGCCAAAAAATAAATAATCTACGCTTTGCAGATGATACAGCACTACTCGCTAACAGTCAAGAAAAGTTAATCAATTTAGTAAATAGGGTAGAAAACGAAAGCAATCGGCTCGGTCTGGAACTAAATACGCAAAAAACCAAAATTATGATAGTTGATAGGCAACATAACAACCATCCAAATATAAGTCATATCGACCGCTTTGAAGTCGTTAAGTCATACGTATACCTGGGATAACTATTGACAAATACAGGCACATCGGAAGAAGAGGTGAAGCGTAGGTGCAACATGGCAAAGGTAGCTGTTGGGAGACTGACCAAGATCTGGAAAGACCGCCAGATTTCAAGAGCCACCAAAAACCCTCTAGTCAACTGTTTGGTACTCCCAATATTGACGTATGGCTGCGAATCGTGGACTCTCAGGCAGGCGGAACGTAAGAAGATCGATGCTACCGAGATGTATTGTTATAGACGTATGCTCCGTATCCCATGGACTGAACGCCGTACAAACGTTTCCATTATAAATGAACTTAATATTGCTAACAGGCTTTCCTGTAAAATCCGACTAAAACAACTAAAATATTTTGAACATATAATGGGGAAAAGTCCGGACAATATGGAAAGACTCATAATTCAAGGCAAGGTGGAGGGACGTAGACCACGTGGCCGCTCTCCAACTCGATGGATAGACCAGATCACGACTAGCTGTAGCAAGCCAATGCACGATGTCATCGAGATGACAAAAGACAGAGGCGCATGGAGAAAAATCATCCATGATGTTACGCTGACCACTACACTCCCTAATGGGGGTCAGGACTGAAGAGAGAGAGACCCTTAAACTCGGCACAAAAATTAATTCTGAAAGGTAACGTACAGGGTGTTGAAAACCTTTTTTATTATAGCATGCATATTTAAAAAAAAAAACAAAGCTTTTAAACATAGTAAACCCTTGTAATAAGTGACTTATTTTATGTCCAAGGAGTTCCATAAGAAAACATATAACTTTAGTATGAATCTTAGTTCTGACACACCCTGTACATTTCAAAATAATTTTAAATTACACATTGCCTTCCCTCATAAAACACCATAAAACATATTTTCATTTTTGTTTAATTAACCGAGACGAATGTGGTGCGCCACCCTGTATACCTTAAACATGAGAAAATGTTCAAAGGGCATTAATGAATATTGCGGTTCCTATTTGACGTATTGAATTATATAAAAATGTTATTTTAGAATAAAAATAACAGTGTTGTCAATCCTGACGTAAAGGTAGGAATATGGAAGGTGTTTTGGGGCGGCCAGCGTGAATGGGGTGGCGCGGGGCGGCGGGCCCCACCTGGGTGCGCGCGTCCACCTGGCGGCGTCGCGGCGGCCGGCGCCGCAGTCCGAGGCAAGCACCGACCGCCTTAGCACCGCGTCTCTCACTGCTGCGACATCGGCACCCACTCACTCGCTCACCTGGGCGCCCGACCCGGCCCCACCCCCAAGCCCCCCGACGCCAGCGCCGCCGCCACCGCCGCCGCCGTCTCCTCAGTCGAGTTTCGCACGGCCCTTCGTCGTCATCATCAGACCATCCGACCGCTAGATTGCAGCGCGATCGGCACCGCGCGCGCCACTTGTTTTCGTTCGTTCGTCTTCGGCTAGCTTCTTGTTTGTTGTTGTGATTGGCGGCTGAAGTCCTTCGGCGCCCCCCGACCAAACCGTGGAGGCCCTGAGCGCCCTCAAGAGAGGCAGGCACCCTCCGCCGACGGGAGACTCTGCAGCCGCCGCGGCAGCCGCAGCCACGCCGCCACCGTCCCTCAAAAGGGCCAAGCACGAGGGACTGCTGCCCCAGGAGCAGGATATGGAAGCGCCCCTCGGCGTAGCCCTCAGCCAGAGCATGGATTCCGTCAACACTAACAACGGAGAGGAAGAGGTTAGTCGGTTGTTTTATATACAATTTGACGACCTAGAAAGAAAACGCTATAAAACCAAACCAAACCAAAAATATATTTTAAATAAGAATTAAAAACCAATATAAAATTTTCCCGCCAAAATAAAGATCATAATATTCCATCTATGATTTGTTTGAGACCAAAAAATCATAAAAAATCGGTGGTCAAATTATTTATTACAAGAAAAGAAGAAATATCGCTACTAAGAAAACGCTTAAAAATCAAAATTAAGTTGTATTTAATTGTGAAATAAAAATAATAAAAAGGCAATTATAATTTATATAAATTTGGCCCACCAAAAAAAAATATAGTTTAGTATTTTGTATATTTTGGACTCGCGAAAATATGCATTTTCTTAAACTAGTCCTAGACTAAATAGTCCAGAAAAATATAGTTAAAAAATGTTTATATCCGCAGTGGAAAAAAAAACAAAAATACACCTAGCTAAATATAAAAAAATGTCTATTATGTGATTATTTTTCATAAAACAAAATTATATTTGATTATAAATCAAATTAGATCAATTTGAAGTCAATTTTACAAAAATCAATAAGTTGATCGATATACCGGGTGCCTCTTAAAAGTAGGTCACCCCTATAATTTTTTTATTTTTTTCAGATAAATAACGAGATTTGGTATATTAGTATTTGACATAAATTATGATTGATTGACGTATTCAATTGTTATTGGTAACTTCCTTTTTCACCGGAAATGAATACAACTTTAGATTTTTAAATGACACTCTCGGAATTTTTTTACTTTATTCGATAGAAAATGACATTCTGAATAAAATGACATATCATATATCAACTTTTGACATTTTCGCATATGGTTTGTTTGAAATTGTAACATGCGTTTCATAACGACAATTTGACTCAAAATACCAAGTGTCAAGTGTGTGATACCAAATTATTCATAAAAAATGCTTTTTCCAAATATGCTAATGAGCCACCCTTGTTCCATTTGAAAAAATTGATATAGGATTAAAAATACGATTTTGTCATCTTTTAACCGGCCAGAACAAGACACTAAAAACATTAAACGATTAAATCTATTTTTCCAAGGTTCCTTGATTAAAAATAGTTTTTTAACACAGCCATGGCACTCTAGATTGAAATTTAAAGCAAAAATGTCAAAAGGTGACGTATGATATGTCTTCCATCGAATAAAATAAAAATATACCAAGGGTGTCATATAAAAATCAAGAGTGGTAGTCATTTCCGATGAAACAGGAAGTGACCAAAAACAATTGAATACGTCAATCAATCCTAATTTATGTAATATACTAACATACCAAATTTGTTTTTTTTATCTGAAAAAATAATAAGTGGTGGTCACTTTTGAGACGCACCCGGTATCTTACGATCAAAATATTTAATCTAGTAGTCTAGTAGGGTTTGATTTTTGACAGAAAATTCTAGTGGTATTTCTCCTAAAAATTATTAATTTTTATTTACCATTACACAAAGTACACTTGATAATGAAACTCTTTAGTCATATTATATTTTGGCATGAAGTAAAAAAGCTAAAACAAGATTCGATTGAGCTAGATTTGGTTCATGTTTTAAGATATATTATTGGATATTATATCTATAATAATATAATAAACAAAGTAGTCATGTTTTAGTCATGTTTCCTGGCTAATCTTACTGTAGACTTGGCAATAAATTCTTTCTTCTTTTTTATAATAATATATTGCTATATTAGGATCCAGATTGATACCTGTCAGTGGATTTTACCTCGTGAACCATAGATAAAGGAAATAAATTTAGATTGGAATGCTGGGCTTCCAGCTAAAACGTATAATTGCTTTGGGTCGCATACGGGCAATGCACGGGATCTGGCGCTACAATAGCGTTTGCTAAGAACAACCGCATATAAGAACAGAAAGAATTTTCTCTTGTCAAAGTCAGAATCTTCAAAAATTATAAGATCTTAAAATTTAAACCGCCAGCATTGAAAAAATACCGAAAACTGTCCATTTCTAAAGTAATTATTGCTGTCTTGTAAGTTTAATTTAAATTTTATTTACTCAAACCTCTGATAATTGTGAAAAAGTGGCATTAAAAAAACTTAAGCTATGTGAACTGCAAAAACCATCATGGCATAACGTCGGTTTCCAATGTTCTATAGGTATTTCATATATGTTCTTATATATAAAATAAAGTTTCTTATATGCAACACACTGTGTTTTATTTATAAAATTAAAAGAAAATAATAATAAATTTGAATAAATAATATATTTGGCGACATAATTCCAGAAAAAGCCGAACCGCTCCGAAATTATCAAAAGTTTTGGGTCGCGACCGTTGCAAGAATAGCGCCAAATAGTATTTACATTGTCTTTATGGGCACTTTCCAAACTAAATTTGTTTCATTTATCTATGTTCGTGAACAAATTTTCCTAAGCAACGAAAATTGCCTAACGTTTAAGTTTTTTTTTCTGAGGAGGAATTTTTTTAAGTGATAAAACGACAAACCAAATCATCTTTTTTTTGCTTAGTCACATTTCTCCTTTGCCATTTTTAAACGTAGTTCCGACCTGAAAACCGACGACGCGACGCGTCTCACTCGATTCGATAACCTCTTCTAGAGTTTACGTTTCCATTGTCATGGAAACAACGGTTGTCGGCCGATATTCCGATGCCATGCCGTTTGAACTAGTTGGGCCGTTTGCGGAACGCCGTCATTCTTTTATTGTTTTCCTTTGTTATTGAGCCAATTAAATATGAGGAAAATCGGAAATTGCTCTGTTGCATGTTATTATTATTACATATTTATTATTATTTCTTGAGGAATTAATGTAAGGAAAATAAA